AATGGGTGAGATGCTGGCCTCCCTTCCACACACTGATTTTACCTAGATCTCTTTCAAAGTGGAATGAGGGATGGAAGAGCCTGACTTTCCCAGACAGCTATAGACAACAGCAGGAGGCATTAGACGTCTTCATTATAACTAGCAGAATCAAAACTGAGCCAGAGAAGGTTAGTGAACTAACAATATCAATGGCTCTGGATCAAAAAAGTATTTGGATGTAGTGATAAATAATCAAAGGGGCTTCGGAAAGATCTGGGGCTCAGCCTAAATCATGCAGTAAAGGCACGATAAGCCAGTGGAACAGATTGACTGAATATACAATAAAAGGCATTTACCATGGATTTATCAAGTCAATCCCATTTTGTTTTATCTGAGCATATTCTAAGTGGCTAAGAAGAGCATGGAAGAGCAAGATAATCACAAGAGAATGGAAATGTATTTTTGAAAGAAGACTTAAAGGAATCCGTAACAGAGAATCTAGTTGGTGAATACATAAGTGCCATATGAAAGCAAGTGCTGGTTCATATGGAGCTGTCTTACTCACACCAATGGTCCATTGAGCTCAGTACAGCCTCCCCAGACAGACAGAAACTCTCCTGGTTTGCTGGAAAAGATATTTTCCAGTCCTGATACTGGACATACTTTTGGCTGGGGATATTCATTGCCAGATTACCAAACAGGCAGAGTAGGCACTGGCCTATGGGCCCCAAGCCTATTAGGGGCCCTGCAATAATGGATCAAAATAATATTTATTTGCTCTTGAAATAAAATTTCAAAAAGTATTCAGATATAATTTGCAAGCCCCCCCCCCAGAGATTTTGACTGTCCAGGGGCCTCCACAGGGTTTAATCCGACACTGAGGATATTAGGAACTGAACCTATAAAAAGAATGTGCTATATCACCAAGCTATGACTGCTCCCTTAAATGTACAACACATATTCAAGTGCAATAATTCATTGTTACTATGGGGTTATCTAGTTATATGTGATTAAATATTCTCTAATATTTTGGAAACATTCACACACGTGCACACAGTTCACAGATGTTATTTTGCCATCTAACCTAGATGGACAGCCAAGTGCTAGCTCAGCCAATGAAACTTCCCAATATACACCTTGCCCTCTGGTGCTTGATTGAGCATATCTTGGCAAAATTAGTCTGTCTTATCACTGTGGATAACTCAACTTCTCCACAATTGTCACATTGCCTCTTTGTCATGTTCCACAAGTTGTCATGTTCCGCATTTAATTCAAAAACTAAGGTTTCCCCCCCCTAGCTCTGCTCCTCTCTGGCCCTGCTTCAAATTCAGAATATTCAGAAGCAAATGCGTTCATATTGCCCCTTCTCTCTCTCATACATAGAATTGTGTATGTGTTGTGTGTGTGTACAGTTCCCATATGAGGATCTCAACATGCATGACTGAATTGGCATCAGATTTCTTTTTTCATGGCCCTTTATAACTTCATGCTCCTTCCTTTCTGGTTTATCTCCTTACCTTCCAACCTGTTGTTTCCTGTGCCTGGAACAATCCTCCTCCTGCAATTTGTCTTCCTTTCTCTATGCCACCACTCAAGATCACTATATTTTCCTTCTAACCCACATTTCTTCTCACACCCTCACCTACTGCATCCGCTTGATTCTGTTACGGCATCTCCTTTACACAATTGAAGCCAAACCTCTCTATCTTGATATAGATGATAAATCCTTGGTGCATGGATCATGCAATTTTTATCACCTGGGTACTTGCTAATACAATGTAGGAGCTAAATATACATTAAAGTGAGTTAGGTCACCACAGTTACAGCCCTTTGGGGCACTTTTTACATGGTATATATTGATGCATTTTATCTTTTCTTCTTTATGTTTATGTTTTCAGACTTGTTATCATAAAGTATCATATCCAAGCAAAACCTTTGTGAATAGGGTATATTATATGTCTATAGCAATGAATGTATGAATAAATGATTAATCCAACATAGTACACCGCAAAGAACAAAACATGAAAATCTTAATTCCACTTAAAAAGTGAAGTATCAACACTTGAATTAAACATGACTGAGGAGGTGTTTTGTATTTTTTACCAAATCAACACCTAAGGCATTAATAATCAGGCCAATAAAAAATATCCACTGACTGCATTATCTGCTCTCCGATGTGGAAATCCTTTAGTGTTTTAGCTATGCCTTTGGTGTACTGGTTTAGAATATATATGACCTATGCAGCACACCAAGTGAATTATATTTTCACTATAAAGTCAAATGTTACACTTCCCACCAAGGTTTTTACTCTCTAACAACCATGCATTGAGTGATATAAATGCAGTGCACATCGTTCATTTTAATGTGTTATGCTACACCATAAAGAAAAGGAAATATAGGGAAACATAAAGCCACAGATTCACATAACAGGTGTCTTCAATCAATTGTTACTGCTTTTTCTGCACACTCTAAACACAAGATCCACGTTATTTCCATGGTGCAGGAAGTTTGGCATCCAATCTGGCAATCTTACAATACCGTTTAAAAATGCTTCTAAATGTGGACCCCCTTTCACTTTCCAGTCTGGGGTGTAGAGGAACTCTCCTGAACTACTGGCACTTTCAGTTGACATGAGGAGCATCAGGGTAACAGCCTTCCTTACTCACAGTCTTACATGTTTCATTAAACGGCTTGGTACTCACATTCCTAAATGGTACTTTTGCAAATGCCCGAATTACGACAGAAATGCTTTTGTCATTACCTTTGTTGTGTAAGTATGTCCATCGGAGCCACAAACCGCACTGGCATGCATCAGAGGGCATGGCTTGCATTTTACTAAATTAGCTGGTCCATTCCAGTGTCTCTGGGGAAGGTTTCCTTTCTTTTGCCGAAGGCTGGAAGAGAAGGCGGGGGTCTGTGTGAATGTGATAGACAACTAAGACAAGTCTCTGCCAAATCGAAGCCTGAAAACAATCTAAATTTTCTGCATGGAATCCTTTTGGATCTAATTCTGCCTAAGCACATTTCAGGGCCAGCTAAAGAGTGAGTTTATAATTGTTGGCAAAGCAATATTGTTTATTTCCAGTGGTTATATAACAAAATGATTATTGTTATTGGTTGTACGAGAAAAACAATAAAAGCCATAGGAGACAGAAATAAATCATAAACATGAAAACTAGCAATAGCATAAAAACAGCATATAATAACAAAAAAGCACCACCAGCAGCAACAACAATAATAATTTAAGGTACAGTAATAGAAATGTGGATGATAGGGATATCCAGAATGTATTTTATATGTTTTAGATAAGAGATTGATGTATTGAATGGGAAAGTGAAGCTAAGATTATGCATAGGTAAAGGTAAAGGGACCCCTGACCATTAGGTCCAGTCGTGACTGACTCTGGGGTTGAGACGCTCATCTCGCTTTACTGGCCAAGGGAGCCGGCGTACAGCTTCCAGGTCATGTGGCCAGCGTAACTAAGCCACTTCTGGCGAACCAGAGCAGCGCACAGAAATGCCGTTTACCTTCCCGCCGGAGCCGTACCTATTTATCTACTTGCACTTTGATGTGCTTTCAAACTGCTAGGTTGGCAGGAGCAGGGACTGAGCAATGGGAGCTCACCCCGTCACGGGGATTCAAACCGCCGACCTTCTGATTGGCAAGTCCTAGGCTCTGTGGTTTAACCCACAGCGCCACCCGCCACCCCGCCACCCCAAACAGATTATGCATAGAGAGCTACAATTTTAAGTGGAAGCATTTTTTGTCTAGCATTCTCCCTAACATGTTATTCGAGCACATGCATGCAGAAAGCACCATATTTGAATTCTGGCATCATCAGGTAGGGTGAGAAAAGACTCTTGCCTGACACCCTGGATTGCAGTTGCCAGTCAGGGCTGCTAATACTCAGCTAGGAGGACAGCCTTACAATGTAGCTTTATATGCTTTTAAACTATTTTAGGGATCCTTCTAAAATGAAAAGTAACAAGAAGAAAACCCCAATCAGTATAACCAATGTTGACAACTAGCTTAATATTAAAGTTGGTATGTACGAAGAAGCTCATTCAGTTGATGAGTGAGCTAGATACTATGATTTTATATTTCTGTTTCCAGTGGCCTGCTATTTAAGGAATATATTGTTAAGCTGATTTTATTTTTTAATCTCATAGGAAATATTCTAAAATGGGGCAATGCACAGCTGAGGTCACTCCTATGACTTTGTCTACTACAATGTTCACATTTCCTTGTGCTTTGCAATGTGCCCATTTTTAGATTATGAATGTTTCTAAAGCTATTGAAAAGCCTGCAATGTACCACTCTGGATATCTGAAACTTCAAAAATGAATGGCTATCTTGACTGTGTCATTGATGTTCTCACTTCTTCTCTTCAGTACTTTAACTGTTATATTATGGGGTTTCAGATCTAGGGTCTTTTTTAACTTGTTAGATTCTATATTGTGATATTGAAAGCCTCTGCTATCCCTGAATCACCAATGGCATGAGAACTATGGCCTCCTTTTTCATACAGGAGTGAATAACACCATGGATAAAATAAAATTTGACACTTGGTAGTCCAATGTCCACTGACATTGTGCCCACCCTCCAATCTGTTGCAGTTGCACAATACTAAGATTCCTCTGTTTGAGTAGTTTTGTACATTTGCTATGTCCATCAAATTATCATGGTCAACTAAATAAAACTGTATCCCTTCTTAGCATACAAACATATCTACAATGTCTTGGTGCCAAGCAGAATTTAGCAATACCCAGGATTTGAAACCATTGTTCTGAAGCTGGCTACCGATCCTGCCCAAGAGAAATAAGAAAAATCAACCACTGCATGATTTATGAAATTAAATTTAAAGGGCATTCAATGAACAAAGTGCCATATAAATGTCTGTTTAAAAATATTATATTTATATCTAAAAATTAAATATAAACTCCTTAAAAATAGGACTGGCATTCCTGATAGAAGCCTTTTAAATAACTGTCAAGGGTAACGCCAACTCTATTTTAAAGATTCATTTATATTTTGCATAGTTGTGCTAGTTAAGTATTATTAAGGTTACTAAATGTTATATTGTTTTAGGTTGTGCTTTTCTATGATCGCTTTCAGTATATCTGGTCTACAAATCATAACATCAAATACAGTACATACAGTTATCAAGACAATACATGCATGCACCTTTTAACATGAGAGTATAAGAAACTCCATGAATAATCAGAAAGAGTTATAAATAGAGATAATGTCTATTGGCAATTTGGTGCCTGCTATAGTCATTCCTTCTAAAAGCTTTAGCTCAGATTGGTATCTTTCTATAAAAGTTACAGTATAGGAGGACATGAACCATTGTTTCAATTGAGCTGTTTTTGCAAGGGACAAACTGTCAAGTGCCAAGGGCAGCCTGGAAAATTGACCCTAAATGCTGATAGCAAAGCACTGAACCAGCACATGGAAATGTTCTTCTGTTACCTAGGGATATTCAAAATTGCTAAATACCTAGCAAATCAATGATCTCTTTTAGGTTCTAGACTAAAGGACAGTGGTGAAAAAAAAACACCCCCAATATGTCAGACTTGACAAATTTTGCAAGTTATGATCTAGAAGCCTCTTTAATGTAGCTGGTTGCTTTTTCTAACCCAAGTGACAGAAGATGGTGTTGACTTTGTTGCTGAATCCAGCAGCAAGTTGAGCTATCAAGAAAAAGGCCAGGGATAGGTAGTCATAATCTGTTGAGGATGAATATAGACAAATCCTATACTGCTGGGGCACCAAAGATCTCAAAAAAATAGTTTGTGTCCTCTCCTCTCTTGCGATTGATTGATTGATTGATTGATTGATTCCTAATATGCACACCTGGATTATGTACATAGTTTTGGTAATTCCTTTGTTTTGGGGGCACCTTCAAACTAAAGGTATATGCTCATCATCCTTTGCACAGCAGAACCTCAACAATGCCACTGGAATAGTCCATGCACTCAATGCAATATTTTGAATTCAAAATGACCAGGATAGAGTGGACTGAAAAGTAACTCTCAAGTAGTTTCAATTACTAACTTGTTTTATGACATGCCCATCCAGGGTCCATTTGTATGTCTCATACCCTTTTGTAAAAAATCAGCCCTTTGTTTTTGTGTTAAAGAATAAAAAGAATGAACCTGAATCCTACTTAAAAGTAAGCCCTGGCTAACATTACACCTAATCAAGGGTAAGGCTAGGAGGGCATGTGGTGGGAATTAGCTCTAGTAAGGACAGAGGGCCTCCCAAGGTCTAATGGCCCACCCCTTTAACCATGATGGAGGGACTGTAAATATCATGTGTGAAGTAGCTCCATGTGATATTGGCTTTCTAGATTTCATAACAATATATAAATTCTACCCCAAGCATTTGGAAGAAATAGCAATCCCACTGCTTTGCCCTAATATGAAAGCACATCAGAGCAGTTTAGCCGAGACAAGGAAAACATTTTAAAACATCACCGAATGCCTTTATCATGGTTTAGAAAACACATATGGATGCTCTTTAAAGCAATTTTGCCTCAGTTTGCAATTTGCTGCACAATTCAAACTCTCTTGTAATATCACATTCAGCTGCTAAAATAATAAAAATGCTATTCTTTCATTTCAGTTAAAGCTTTCTTCTGCTTGAGCCTTTGTCACAGTGATAAATAGCACTATTAGGAAGCTTGCATCTACAGAAGCAACCCCATCACGATATCATAAAATAAAAAAGCCAACCAAAAAGAGAGATAGAGAAGCCTGCAATCAAATCCTTGGTATCAAAAACCAGTTCTGTCAGTATATGACAGTGTTAATCTTCTAGAATGCATTCACTTTCCTTAACAAACTAACTCCTCATTAATTAAGACAGGTGAATAGTAAAATGCTCTGGATTGAACCAAAAAGGGTGAGGTATACTTATTAAAATTTCTGCAAATGATTTGTGAAATCAGGTGGGTCCAAATTCGTAAAGCTCACAGTGATGCTACCCAAATATTACAACATGTCTACATCTTTGCGCGAAAGAATGCCTGCAAAAATTTAAGTATCTTAAAAATCATGCCATATAATCATAGCTAGGAGGCAAAAGCACAAGAAGCTGTGACTACCAGGGACCTGAGATCACAGGAGCAGGAGCATTAGGGGGAAGAAAAGTTTGCAAGCCATATGTGCAACCCACACACAGTCCCCTTGTGTAACTTGCACATATGTTTTTCTGTACAGAATCTTGCTAGAAGAAATCAACAACTCCATCTTATGGGTTGGTTAAAAAAAAAAAATTAGTTGCTGTGGTTGCAGATTATTAAGTTGCTAATTAACTTGAACATTTGATGGCTATATTTCAAAAGGTGGCATTCAAGTTCATCTTCTACTCTAACCAAATGGCCTGGTTAGATGGCTATTGAGCAGTGTCATGCTTTGCATGGTGTGTGTTTTTTTAAGAAACATGTTTGTTGCTATTTGGTTGAACACATGCTGTGAAAGTGCTAACTTCCAAACATAGTCTCAGGCTACTTTCAGACTACACTATTTTGTAGATGATACTCAGTACTCTGCCAGCAAATTTTGTGCAATTAAAGCAAATTTGGCCCTCTTGCATACAACAACATTTCTGTGGTCAGAAAAGTGACAGGAAAATGAACTGGAAAGTGTGGGATGACAGCAATGTCATATTACCTCTAAGCAACCAAAGCGGAATGAATGCTCAATGAGCAACTTGTCTGGAAGAGCCCTAAAACTAGAAACCAGTTGAAAGATGCATGTAGTCCCTGAGGTGTTCAACATTGCTTTTGTTTCAAAAAGTCTAACCATGAGGGGTCATAACCTTCTACTTGTTCCTTCAAGCTGATGATCGATTGAGTCCTACCACGCCACATCCATCTCTTTCCCATCTACTCAACAACTGCAATTAGTTAATATTGTCTGCTTCTTCATTCATGTGTTCCACTTAATCCATCAATGTGATTGCTAATGCGGCTCCGTAGATGCCAAAGAATAATCAGGGATGGATATTATTATGGCATGCTCTATAGTTGAAAATGCGAGGGAAATGTTGCTGAATGAGGACTGGCTATGGAAGAGGAAAAATAAGAGCGCCAACTTCCCGAGGGGAATAATTTGCATAGCAGGTGCTAGTTTTATGATGTGAGTCTGAATTGATCATCTAAAAATATATCGTTGTTTTAACTTTTATATCACATAGAAGCCTGCCAAATGCTCTAACAGCCTGGATTGCATTCCCTATTGGGCTTTTAGACCAAAAGACCAACAGACAACATAAGTTGGGCTTAGGTTATGTTAAGATATAGCAAATGCAAATGTGAGGCATTAATTGCCACACTCAACCCACCAGTCATTTCACCCAGAACTTCTCAGCAGAAATACTGCACAGCCCTCTTCCACAAGTTCATAAAATATTCAATATACAAATCAGATCATTTTGAAGTGAAAAGGTAAAAAACCACCACCACCAAATCTATACTTGGTGGCAGAAAAACAGCTCTCAACCCCAAAAACCTTCAGATTTAAAATAAAGTATAAAATATGGTTATCAGCTAAACTGGCTTTTCTAAAGATTTCACTTTATTCTAGCTGTTAGAAATGGTCTGATAAGCAACTTCAATTTATTAATAACAGGGTTTTAAAAGAAAAAAAAATACATTGCAAATCTTTTAAGTGGAAAAGGCATTGTATTAATGCCATTTCCACTAATACGTCAGAAACAAAATAGCTTTAGAGTGGCTTCTATTATGAACATTTTGTCTTTTCAGCTTGACAGAGACGTGTGTTCGTTTTAACTTTATCTCTCTGTCTTGCTCAGTTCCAGAAGCGTATGTGCTTTGAGTCAAAAGTATGACCTGCCAGCATTCAGAACCCAGACAGAAAAAAATATTTTTTATTATCTTATTTCTGCCTGCCTGGGGATGTTATCACCTATGCAGCATTCATATTATCTCACAGGTTTAAAAAGACTAGATTTTAAACACCCATAGAAGGGTTCTTGCTGTACGTCTCTCTAAAGAGATAGTGTTCAAGTTATGGCTGTTCTTGGTAGTAAATAGAATTCATGTAGGATTGCTGGAAAACAGGTCTTTCAATGTTAATGCCTGTAACATTTTCATACCTATAATAATTTACTATGTGGACATGAAACAGAGAGACACATTGTGCAAAAATGTATCTTTTAAAATGATTTATTGGACCAAGACCTAATTAGCTGTAGTTCAGAAAGTGTAACTAGGGTTGTCAGTTACAACCTGGAAATTGTTGCTACATCTTCACATTTATTGATTAAGGGAGAGACTCAACAACTATGTCTTCTCCTGCCCATTTCCCCAGAGTTCTTTTGTCTTTCCTCCTTTCCCACCTGCACAGCTGGATTTCCTATTATGTCAAACTGTGGTGGGGGAGTGGTTAATGGATCTGGGAAGAAAGCATGTGAGAAAAGCCTGTGCTGTTGAATCTTAGGCTTTTTTGCAATCCCAAAGCAAACAACAACAAAAAGAAGCCAGCTAGCAGCATGCCAAAAATAGGAGGAAATAATGGCTATATGAGTGTAAGGAGAAACAAGCAAAGGTTAGTTAGGGAAATACCAATTGATAAGTGCAATTACTCACACTAAACAATTTACTTCGCACCCACTTTTAAAACACTTAAGATGCATCTTTTACTTCTTGATGACTATGGGATGTAGGGTTGGGCCCCAAGTTACCTCAGTGAGCATATTACAGCAAACAGGGACAAATGAACCCAACATTTGCCCCAAGTCTTCCCCTTGTCACATCTTGCATTGCCCTGCCCCAGTTCTCCAGTTTGTTGGCTACTGCCAATGAGAGGCTGGTAAATTAATGTTGAGATGTAATAACAGTATAAGTAAGCAAACCTACACTGAAATGCAAAAGTGAAGAACATGGCATTGGCCAGCCATATATATACAGCTCAAGATCTGCTATAACATGCAATTTAGCAGGGATGAGGATTTTAACTTAGGTTTCTCCCACCCAAACCTTCTCCATATTAGTTTCACACTCATTGCAAGGATGTACCCATGGCATTGCAGATTGATAAAAACAATATAAACATTCAGAGTAAGCTTGCAGTGGTTATGGCTGTGAAAACCTCATTAGGAAGCAAGCATGCTTTTCTTACCTATTCTTTGTTTTGTGTTCTCTGGGATCAACTTAGCAACATTTTATGGGGAGTCTGCAAGGATCAGCCCCAATGCTCTAGAATTATCCTCCAAAAGAGATTCATTTAGTCTTGTCCCTGCTAGTTTGTTTGGTTTTTTTGGCAGTTGAAGGCTGTCACTTTTCAGAAGAACTTTCATTTTTAACACTATTTACCGGTACTTTCAGGGGTGGCGCTGTGGGTAAAACCACAGTGCCTAGGACTTGCTGATCGTATGGTCGGCGGTTCGAATCCCCGTGGCGGGGTGAGCTCCCGCCGTTCGGTCCCAGCTCCTGCCCACCTAGCAGTTCGAAAGCACCCCTAAGTGCAAGTAGATAAATAGGTACCGCTTTATAGCGGGAGGGTAAACGGCGTTTCCGTGTGCGGTGCTGGTGCTGGCTCGCCAGTGCAGCTTCGTCACGCTGGCCACGTGACCCGGAAGTGTCTCTGGACAGCGCTGGCCCCCGGCCTCTTAAGTGAGATGAACGCACAACCCTAGAGTCGGACACGACTGGCCCGTACGGGCAGGGGTACCTTTACCTTTACCTTTACCTTTACCGGTACTTTCAGGGTAGTTGTGCTTATTTTAGTGGCCGTTTACTGTGACGGTTGCTTTCGCTGATTTATTGATGTAATTTCTTTTGGTTTACTGAATGTTGTTTTTATTGTTTTTCCCCTCTATGAATTTTCATGACTGGTGCTGTAAAACAAAGATTTAAATAAGTATGTGCCACTCCATCAGGTGTGAAGCACGGTTCCTTTCAGCCTGCTTGAACTGCATCCCATGGCTTTTGTTGATCCTAGAAGTTTCTTCACTGTTTTGCTTCAGCAGCACATGCCATTGGTTCAGTAGCCTTGGGCAGACAACACATCCAGAGAAAACAACTAAAGGAAGGGTCAGGGTTGTGCCACCAGTACTATTCCTCCCAGTTCCCTGTGTTTATGTAGCCTTCTGAGTCTGCATGCTGTACTGAGTTTGCTTTGGTCACAAGGGTGAATTAATATGTGAAGGTTGGAGGGCAGGCCAAAGGGCACACTTTCCTTGTCTCTGAATATGTAATCTGCACAAGGCTAAAGTCACACCTAAAGCTAAAGCTGCCAGTTTCATTGTACAATGGATATAACTATAGCAACTTGATTTTCTATTTGGCACGATGACGCCAACTACCGGTAAGTCCTATGCAGTGTATATCCATTGAAATTCAATGGCTGAGATTAGTCATGCCCATTAATTGAAATGGGTCTACTCTGCATAGAACTAACAATGGATACAACCTATTATGAATACTTATTTAGCAAAATAGTAATAAGTAGTAGCAGTAGGGTTTTTTTCTTTAAAAAAAGGTTTAACAATTTTGTCCAAAGTTTCTTAAATTTTGTAAGTATTAAAAGTTGAGACAGTTCTTGCCCAGGTTCAGATTCTAATACTTCACAAAAGGGGGGGAGAGGTGGTGAGAGGAAAGCAAGCTTTACAGCAGCAGCAGCAGCAGCAGCAGCAGCAGCAATAATAATAATAATAATAATAATAATAATAATAATTTATTTATACCCTGCCCATCTGGCTGGCTTTCCCCAGCCACTCTGGGAGGCTCCCAACATAAGTAATGATGATGATGATGATGATGATGATGATGATGATAATAATAATAATAAAGCGATAAAACATCAGACATCAAAAAGTTCCCTGAACAGGGCTGCCTTCATATGTCTTCTAAAAGTCAGATAGTTGTTTATTTCCTTGACATATGATGGGCAGGCATTTGACTACCAAGAAGGCCCTCTGCCTGGTTCCCTGTAACATCACTTCTCACAGTGAGGGAATCACCAGGAGGCCCATGGAGATGTACCTCAATGTCTGGGCTGAACAATGGGGATGGAGACGCTCCTTCAGGTATACTGGGCCAAGGCTGCTCCTTCCATGGGAGCTTCAAGCCACAATGGATAGGACTAGTTTGGTCTTCCCTTTGCCATGATGTTCTTCCTGAAATACAAGGGTGTGGTCCTATGTAACCAATCTGTTGGCAGGGGGCGGAGTGTGCCTCTTTTCAGCTCTGCCATGCAGTTGCAGGTAACTGGTAGGAGCTCTCTCTCTCTCTCTCTCTCTCTCTCTCTCTCACACACACACACACACACACACACAACGTTATACAACCAAGTAAAGCTTTGGCCTTTTTCTTTTTAAAACAGCATAGCATTGTTGTCTACCCTATCACTGGCAAGCCAGAAGTAGTGCATTCTGATGATTCCTTCTCATTCATATGCCAGAACCTGACAGCTTTCTTATGCTACATGCTAATTCTTCAATTTATTATGGGTGCACCTCCATCATAATTTTTGATTTATCATAATCTAATCAAAACAATAAAAATCTGACTTCAGTCTATCTGAAATAATTTGGTCTATTTTCACTGATAGTTTAATTAGTCCTGTCTCTACATAGGTTCTCGTCACACCCCAGCTGAAAACTCATGCTCTTTCCCATTCACACTCATATGAGAGGCATTTTCAGGAGTAGCCTCTAATAGGAGATGAATCTTAGTGCTAATAACATTTTTCTGCTCCTCTGGCCCTCTTGTCATTTAGAAATACAGTTTTAAGAGTCATTTTGAGTGGTTTGAGTGGTTCACTAAATTTGAAGATCTGCCCCAGCAGTTTACAGCGAATAAAGAAACAATGCAAAGGGCTTGTGACTTGGGATGCCCTCTTCACAGCTGCCTCAAAAGTGAACATTAGTTCTTGAAAGAAAAATTAAGGCATATTCTGATACCTTCATCCTCTCTCAATGAAGGTAGAATTTTACTAGTCCTTGGGCAACTAATAAAGACCAGGCGCTACGCTGTAATTTGGCCAGGGTGGGGGAAGCAGTCTCAATGTGCCCAGTTGACTTGCCACAGTCAGGTGCCCTGCAAGCAAGGGGCTACAATTCTGTGATGACTCAGAGGTCTGGCAAATATACGGATACTGAAGATGCTGAGGACAAGGAAGGCTGTGTATGGGATTTACTCTTAGAAGGCACCTCTCTAAAGGGATCTTTTATCTCCCTATCCAACTGAGAGATAAAGCACTCTGTTTGCTACTTAGAGATCACTCTAAAATGTTATCTCCCAATCAGATCTGGAGATAAAGCTGTGGGGCCACTTCCTGTGGTTTAGGCAGGCCAGATCCAGCCTGGGTTTACATTACGCAACAACAATGCCCTTAGTAACATACAACAGTTTGTGTTTCCAAAGTAAAAACACACTTACATTTTTTGATTCTGACAGTTAAACCACTCTTTCTGAAGTCAATTAGGCAAACTTTAGCCAACAAAGCCTCTCCTCTTCCCTGAGGGAAGAGGTTGTGAGCGGGTCTTGCTTCCCATGCTTCGCAGTGGGCGTGGATGGCCCACTGCGTCACAGAGAGTCCCTGGCCTGTGTCAGGCCCACAGCCAGCCAATACGGCTGGCTGGGGGGGCATGGTTTGCCGCTCTTAAACGA